TTTTGGTTTTTTGATTTCACGTACAAGTGAAATCATATGGCATTTGTCTTTGCCTGAATTATTTAACTCAGCACTGTACCTTCTAGGTCCATTCATATTGTTTCAGATGGCAAGATTTTATTCTCTTTTGTCATTGAATGATATTCTATTTCACCAATTTGGTATATGCACCAATTTTTTTTATCCATTTATCCATTGATGAACTCTTAGGTTGAGTGCATATCTTGGCTATTGTAAATAATGCTGTAATAAACATATGGATGCATATGTCTTTTCAATTAGTGTTTTGAGTTTCTTCAGATAAATGCCCAGAAGTGGAATTGCTGGGTCCTACTTTTCTCCTTTTATAGTCTATGTTTTAAAGTATAGTCTGGTATAAGTAATTGCTACACCAGCTTTTTTGTTTGTTTCCTTTTTCACGAAATATCTTTTTCCTTCCATTTACTTTTAGTCCGTGTATGTCTTTGTATCTGAAGTGAGTTTCTTGTCAACAGCATATGTAAGAGTATTATTTTTTTATACTTTCAGCCACCTTATGTCTTTTGATTGTAGCAGTTATTCCATTTATACTTAAAGCAATTGTTGGTAGCTATGTAGTTACTGCTATTTTATTATTCATGTTTTTTATTTTTTTTTTCTTTTTAAAAAAGTGTCTTTATAATTTCTTATAATACTGGTTTGGTGATGATGAACTCCTTTAGCCTTTTCTTCTCTGTGAAGCTCTTTTTCTCTCCTTTGAGTCTAACTGATAGCTTTTTCCATGTAGCATAATGGTGGTTGTCCACCATACTGCTTTCCATTGTGGCTGTACCATGTTACATTCCCAGCAACAGTGTGCAAGTTTCCCAATTTCTCCACGTTCTCACCAATACTTGTTATTTTCATTCATCTTCCCTCCATCGCCCTCCTTCCCCTCTCCCTCACTCCCTCCCTCCCTTCCTTCCTTCCATTCTTCCTTCCTTCCATTCTTCCTTCTTTCCTTCCTTCCTTGGACATCCTAACAGGTGTGTGGTGGTATCTCATTGTCATTTCAATTTGCATTTCCCTGATGATTAGTGATATTGTGTATCTTATTATGTACTTGGCCTTTCATGTATCTTCTTTAGAGAAATGTCTCTTCAAATCCTTTCCCCATTTTTTAATAAGATTGCTTGTTTTTTTGTTGTTAATTTTTATTTCTTCTCTATATATTATGGATATTAATCCCTTATCAAATGTATGACTGGCAAATAGTTTCTCCCATTCTATAGGTTGCCTTTTTACCCTATTGTTAGTGTCTTTGATGCACAATCATTTTTAATTTTCATGAAATCCAATTTGTCTTTTTTTTCTTTGTTGTCTGTGTTGTTGGTATCATGTCCAATAAATTATTGCCAAATCCAATGTCACGAAGATTTTCATGTAAGTTTTCTTCTAGGAGTTTTATATACTTAGGTCTTGTTGCATTTAGGTATTTGATATATTTTGAATAAATTTTTGAATATAATGTAATGTATAGGTCTAATTTTACTAGTTTCCATGTATGTATCCATTTTGCCTAGAACCATTTGTTCCAAAGACTGTCCTTTCCCTATTGAATGGTTTTTGTACACTTGTCAAAAACCATTTGACCATGTATGTGAAGGTTTATTTCTGGGTTCTTTAATCATGTTCTGTTGATCTGTATGTCTATTTTTATGCTAGTACCATGCTGTTTTGATTACTGTAATATATACATATATACTTTCAGTGTTATAATTATTTTTCCTTGATACATTCAGGTCTGTCCTGTCATAACTACAGCCCAGCCTCTTGAATGTTTGTGTTTCACTTATTTCTACTCTCTTAACTCTTAATTCACACTGCATCTCACTTTTTTTACATCTCACTGCACCTCTGAAATTATTGTTGCTGAGGTTACCAAAGACCTCCAAAATTTCAGATCCAATGGATGCTTCTGTATTTTTATGTTGCCTGATTGTTGTGGCCATCCTTGAAATAGTTGTTTTTTCTCTCTCTTAAGCTCTCTTTCTGGGCTGTCACATTGTAGTAAATATATATATATTTTAACCTCCGTTTTCTTTTGTATTCATTTTACCAGCCTCCTGCTTGTCCTTGTGTATATACTCTTTAGGTTGACTTAATTTAGATAGGTCAAGCCATCTTCTGCTTCCTGCAGTGCTGATTCCTCAAACTAGAACTGTGTAACTTGCTACCATTCCCTTTCAGTAATAACTATATCATCCTGAATTACTGACAAGAGTCTGTGTAAATGTTTGTATAAGTTTTATTTAATTGACCTATTAAGTTCTTCCATTGGTCCTCTCTGCTTTTTACTATAGGGTTTCCCTTGTAAATTTTATTCATCTTCATAGTTTTAGTCATCATTTTTAGGCAGATTACCAAACTTGCATCTTGAACACACTTTACTTTTTTGGCTGCCTTTTTTGTTGGGTGAGTTTTTTATAGATCACTGTGTTAGATAAAATATTAGACCTAGACATGCCAAACAAGTTAGTTGATCCAAATATATTTAATCTTCTTCCGAACAGCAACTCTTCACATCAACATTACTTTTTTGGCTTTTAAAAACTCATATGTTCTATTTTTGTGAGGCAGGACTTTCTGCATACTACACCTAAAGCAGCACATTACAGTTGTGAACACAAAAATCCAGCCACCTTTTATTAAGCCACACATTGAAGAGACTTGCACAAATGAAAAAAAAATACCACTTTTCTCCTCTATAGTTTTTCATTAAAAATATGTTCCATATGTTAAAAAAAAATCATATGTTTAACTCATTTAAGAGAGAAGTTGATGATTAATGATTTCTTTTTATAGGATAAGTAGAGTTTTGCTAGAGTAACAAAGTAAGACAGTATTTTTTAATAACTCTTTTTTGAATATTTTACTTATTTATTTTCAGAAAGAAGGGGAGGGAGGGAAAAAGAGAGGGAAGGAGAGAAACAACAATGTGTGAGAGAAACATCGATTGGTTGCCTGCTGCATGCCCCCAGCTGGGGACCTGGCCTGCAACCCAGGCATGTGCCCTGACTGGAATTGAACCAGCGACCTTTTCGTTCACAGGCCAGCACTCAATCCAAGGAGTCACAACAGCCAGGGAAAAATGGAGCATTTAGAAGGGATTGTGCATATAATGTGTTTGGTGTGTTATTCAGAGTGGGTATAATATGGTAAATGACAGAAAATGACTTTGCAAATTTGGTATTGAACATATTAGGCCTTGAATGCCAGTCCAAAGAATTTGACTTTTTCCTGTTTGTTGTATGGAACCGATATATTAGTGATGGTTCCTAGTCTGGAGTAGATAACCAATGAGTGGTTTTCTCTAGTGGGTAGAAGGCTATATGGAAACTGTTCTCCTTAGAAGAATATTTCAGTTTTGTTTTGGTGCCACTTCATTCCAGAGAACACCACTATGTTCTCTGTCAGCATATCCAAAAGAGCTCTTGAATGAAAAACATTTGGGAAACTTTGAGTTAAGCTCTCCTAAGGGGGAAAAAAAATGAAAATATGACTACACTGAACTAAATTATCAACACATTTTCTACTTTGTTTAGAGAACAATATTTTAAAACTGAATTTCAGCAATAATTGCCATTAGATGAGCTTCCAGAGGATATCCAATAATATATGCTTTTCTTTGGTGTCCTATGAAAATGCTCATCTTATTTTTAGTTTTTAAGAAGTGGAAAATATCCCATCATCCTTGTGAAATGTTCTTAGTAGCTAAGGGCAGTTGATGAAGAAAGCACTTACTAGCTGAGTTGGTTCCCAGTATTATCTGCAGTCATTCAGTTAATTATTTCAAATTTTGTTTCTTGTTTTGGCAAGATATGGGAATATATTTTAGACTGATAATAGAGCAAACTTAATTTCACTGGACTGATATACCCAGTATTTAATGTGGGTTGTGGCAAAAAGGTATACTGTAATTCTAATTTTTTGAACTCTTGAAGAATTTTAAGAGACTTTTAGCTTTCAGATGAACATTAAGTCCAGACCTCCCAAACCTTTATCAGTAGTGGAGAAAGGTACCCATACCACTGACACTCAACAGTTTTCTTTCCCATTACTTCTTGTTTTTGTTTTCTTTTCTTCATGCCTCTTGGACTTTGAGTGCCACCAAGCACTGTGTATTTGCACTGTTTTTGTAACAGCTGTGGACAGTGACTTTGAGCTTCTCTACTTATGAGGGGTTTGTTGGAAATGTGCTCATTTCTAAAAGTATTTCACTTAGTAATTACAGAAATAGATTTATTCTTTTTTATGTCATAACAGATATGTTCTTATTTTTAAGGTGAAAATTCAAGTTGTTACAATCATACAGAATTTAGTAAATGTTTTTTGAAAAGGTAGCACTGTAAAATCAATCATATTAGTTACTGCTGCTAATATATTTTATATAATTATAACATTTAAAATTTTCAGAATGCTTTTTATATGTGAAAACTGAGTTGACCTTAGAACACTTAGAAATCTAGGGAGAAAAATACATGCTCTGTTATCTTAAAAATAAACAAATTGAAGTTTTGAAAGAATAATAACTTGCTTGTGGTTTGATGAATTTAATGTCTATGGGGTAATTATGACTAAAAGACCAATTTCATGATTTTTTGGTACCCCTTCTTTGTTTTTTAAAAAAAGGATGATTATATTGCATATTATGTCATTTCTCAAAGGTCTCATAAACATGATTATGAATCAGACATTTTTCTTGGTTCACTGTCAAGTTTGATGCACTTCCTATATACTGATTGCCCTTAGAAATAATCGGAAATGTGTTGGTGTGTACAAACCTTCTAAAAATATGAGTCAGAGTTAGTTGAAACCCACCATATTTTAAAAATAGATTCTGCAAATAATATTAGATATAAAATAATACAAATTAATTTCTATAGAATAGAAATGTGCTTGTGTTTTGTGTTTTTGCTTAACAGTATTTCACATTTATAATTTTATGCCTGTATTAATCAAGGTGTCCTTTGTCTAAACAGGAGAATGTATCCATCACCTCCCACCTGTGCAAACCCCTATTCAAACAAACAAGAAAACAACAAAGCACTGTTTTCATTGTGGGAAGAAAACTGGACTGGCTACTAGCTATGAATGCAGGCATGTTGGTTGTCTTAAAAAGTTGAGATGCTTTCTTTGTGGTGACCCAACTCAGAGATACAACATAAAATGTTCTCAAAGTTGTTTATTTATAACATTATTAAGATGGCGTTCATATAGCAGCCATCAGTTTAACTCCTCCTAATTGGCTGAAGTAAAGAACAAGTAGATAGTTCATGCATTTCCAAATTCATGAGAACCTCCTCTGCTCCTTAAATTAGGAGATTTGAACCAATGGTGGTGTACACTTTTTTGTCTTATGATAGGTATTCTTGTTCTTTTTTGAGTATAGCTTGAAAGAACCCGTCCTCTAAGATTCTATTTTAAATTTAACAAAGGACTAAAATTAATGTATAAATTTTAACAATTATATGATGTACTTTTATTTTAAAAAAGATGAATAATATATTTATAAAAATAATTATTTTTTAATTAGCATTGGTTAATATGCTTCAAGGATGGTGTCTGCACTTCGATTGAGGCCAGACATGAAAAATAACTGCTGCTTTTTAAGAGTGTATTCTATTCAAATAGAAATAGCTTATCTTGTTATAGAAAAAGTTTTTAAATCCCTCATGGCTTTGTTAGGTTTTCTACTTCTCCCAGATTTAAATAGTGGAAATGTTTATTAGCTTTTGCAGTTTTACTGCTTCATAAATGACTATACTCTATTTCATTCCATAATGTGTTATTTATTATAAACTCTCATAGTCATAAACAGTTAACTTATTCTTTTGGGGGGTGCTTGTGCTTGTTTATGAGTGGAAGAGAAATACCACTGCTGAAATTGCTAAAGAGAACCAAAGGGCTCGTGTTGGACTACCTGAAGTCAAGCTCTGATCTTCAAAAGAGATGAGCCTCTGATAAAAATGTGACTATTGATATAAACTTTCTTTGTGCTTTAGATGTGGAAACAACTTCTGTGCATCCCATCGCTATGCAGAAACTCATGGCTGCACCTATGATTACAAGAGTGCAGGGAGGAGATACTTACAGGAGGCAAATCCTGTGATTAATGCACCAAAACTCCCCAAAATTTAACTCTTGCTCTGCACCTAACTGTTCTGCCTGAGGAATCATATTACACTGACAGACAGAAGAAATATTGTTTAGACTGCATTAATTTTTTTCTACTCCAAACGATTTTCCAAATAACAAAAGCATACAATGCATACTGTTGGAGAATGAGAATGCTACTGTATTTGACCTCTCTATTCTTTGGTGAATCAAAAGTTTTAAAAAGAGTTTTAAAAACTTTAAACTATAATGATTTCACTTTGTTATTGCATGCCTTATGTTAAATATTTTATATATTTGATACTGCAATTTTACTAGACAAGCTTCAAAAGGTATACTTTATGAAGTTACTATCGACTATATAACTATCTTCCACATTGCACAGAAATGACCTGTCATATAATGGCGCTGTTCAAACCTACCACTTTTCTCTGAGGGTGGGGTGGGTGGGGATTTTTAAAAGAAAAATTACATGTGTGAAAGTTTCGTGAGTTTAATAGCAAGTCTCTTATTATTTTATGCTACTTTTTGTAAAAAAAGAACATTTGGTTTTCCAGTGTGGTTTTAATACCAGTAATCTTCCATATTCACATTGGCATTCAGATATGTATTCATTCTACAAAACACATCATGTTAATTACAGCACATATTTCTTAAAATAATACTTTTTAAAAGGCATTTTTAAAATGGATGTCCCACTTGTTGCCATTAAATGCAAAACATAACTTTTCACTTTTGAAAAACAAAATCTCACACAGCTTGGATTGTTTTTCTTATATGTTGAGTGCTATTACCAGAAGAAATTCTAATAAATATTAAATTTTACTAAGAGTTTGATTATTTGATTATTTAAAATAATTTTATGAGGTTTCTTTTTGCTTAATCCCTTCAGCTTTATTACCCAGTCCTCCTACCTGCCTACCCACTGAGAGAGTCAGTTTTCTGTATCTATGAGTTTGTTTCTCTTTTGTTTGTTAGTTTATTTTGTTAATTAGATTCTACACATAAGTGAAATAATATATTAATTGTATTATCTGACTGGTCTATTTCAGTTAGCATAATACACTGCAGGTCCATCCATTGCAGTTGCAAAGGGTAAGATTTCCTTCTTTTTTTCACAGATGAATATATTGCATTGTGTAAATGTACCACAACGATTTTTATCCACTCATCTACTGATGGGCACTTGGGCTGCTTCCATATCTTGGCAATTGTAAATAATGCAGCAGTGAATATAGGGGTACAGGCATTATTTTGAATTAGTGTTTTGGGTTTCCTTGGATATATGCCTAGAAGTGGGATCACAGAGTCAAAAGGAATATCCATTTTTATTTTTTTGAGGTATTTCCATACTGCTTTCCACAGTGGTGTACCAGTCTGCATTCCCATCAACAGTGCAAAAGGGTTACCCTTTCTCCACATCCTCACCAGCACTTGTTGTTTGTTGTATATTGATGATAGCAATTCTGACAAATGTGAGATGGTATCTCATTGTGGTTTTTACTTGCATTCCTCTGTTGATTAGTGACATGAGCATCTTTTCATATGTCTGTTGGACATCTGTATGTCCTCTTTGGAGAAATGTCTATTCTGGTCCTTTGCCCACTCCTTAATTGGATTGTTTGATTTCTTGGTGTTGTGTTTTGTAAGTTCTTTATCAATTTTGAATATTAACCCATTACCAAACATTAGCAAATATGTTCTTCCATTTAGTGGGTTGTATTTTCATTTTGTTGATGGTTTCTGTTGCTGTGCAAAAGCATTTTAGTTTGATGTAGTTCCATTTGTTTATTTTTTCTGTTTCCCTTTCCAGAAAAGATATATCAGAAAAAATATTAATATGAGAAATGTCCAAGGTTTTACTGCCTATGCTTTCTTCTCGGATTTTTATGGTTTAGAGTATAACATTAAAATTTTTAATGCATTTTGATTTTATTCTTTTTTTGCATAGAATTATTTTTATGTATTTATAAAAAACAGGCTGTGTTGTTAGCTATTTAGTGACTGAACTCAAGATTCAATCCCTTAAATGTTTTTCTTTTTTTTTATTGTTCAAATACATTTGTCTTCATTGTCCACCACCAATTTCCCTACCCCACCTACCCACACCTCCCTCCCTCAATCCTTCCTACTTTGGCTTTGTTCTTGGGTCCTTCATACAGGCTGCTGGACTTGACCCCTCCCCTTCCTTTCTCTATTCCCCACCTTCCTCCTTCCCTCGTGTTACTGTTGGATTCTTCTTTCTTTCAACGCTACTGGTTATATTTACCCTGCTGCTTGCTTTGCTGATTAGGTTCCATGTATAGGTGAGATCATATGGTATTTGTCTTTCACCTCCTGGCTTATCTCACTTAGCATAATGCTCTTCAGTTCTGTCCATGCTGTTGCAAAGGGTAGTAGCTCTTTCTTTCTGCAGCGTAATATTCCACTGTGTAAATATACCATAGTGTTTTCATCCACTCATTTACTGATGGGCACTTAGGTTTCTTCCAGCACTTGGCTACTGTAAATTGTGCTGCTATGAACATTGAGGGGCAAAAGTTCTTTTGAATTGGTGTTTGGGGATTCTTAGAGTATAGTCCCAACAGGGGAATCACTGGATCAAAAGACAGTTCCATTTTTAGCATTTGAGGAAACTCCAACTGTTTTCCACAATGGATGCACCAGTCTGCATTCCCACCAACAGTGTACTAGGGTTCCCTTTTCTCCACAACCTCGCCAGCACCTGTTGTTTGTGGATCTGTTTATGATGGCCATTCTGACCGGTGTGAAGTGGTATCTCATTGTGGTTTTAATTTCCATTCCTCTGATGGCTAGTGATGATCAGAATCCTTTCAAATGTCTCTGGGCCCTCTGTATGTCCTCCTTGGAGAAGTGTTTGTTCAGGTCCTTTGCCCATTTTTTTAATGGGATTATTAGTCTTCCTGGAGTGGAGTTGTGTGAGTTCTTTATATATTTTGGAGATCAAACTACTGTCCAAGGTATCCTTGGCAAATGTATTTTCCCTTATAGTTGGATCCCTTTTCATTTTGCTGATGTTTTCTTTAGCCATGTAAAGGCTTATTTTGATGAAGTCCCATTTGTTTATTCTTTCCTTTATGTCCCTTGCACTAGGGGACATATTGGTGAAAATACTGCTGTGTGGGATATCCGAGAGATTCCCACCTATGTTCTCTTCTAAAACTTTTATGCTGTCATGACTTATATTTAAGTATTTTATCCATCTTGAGTTTATTTTGGTGTATGGTGTAAGTTGGTAGTCAAATTTAAATATTTTGCATGTAGCTGGTCAGGTCTCCCAACACCATTTGTTGAAGAGGCTATTTTTATGCCATTTTATGCTGATGCACTCTTTGTCGAATATTAATTGATCATAGAGACATGGATTTTCTGGGCTTGGTATTATTTCCCATCGATCTATGTGTCTGTTCTTATGCCAGTACCAGACTGTTTTGATTACAGTGGCCTTGTAATATAGTTTGATGTCAGGTATTGTGATCCCTCCTACTTTGTTTTTCTTTCTCAAAATTGCTGTGGCTATTCAGGGTCATTTATGCTTCCATATAATTTTTTTAAATGTTTGTTCTATGTTTGTGAAAGACATCATTGGTACTTTAATAGGGATTGTGTTGAATCTATAAATTGCTCTCAGTACTATGGACATTTTGATGATGTTAATTATTCTAATCCATGAGCACGGTAGATACTTCCATTTATTTGTGTCTTCCTTAATTTATTTATTCAGTGCTGTGTAGTTTTCTCAGTACAGGGCTTTTACCTCCTTGCTTATGCGTATCCCTAGGTATTTTATCTCTCTCATTGCTATAGTATAGGATTTTTTTTCCTGATTTCTGATTCTGATATTTCATTGCTGGTGTACAAAAATGCCTTCAATATCTGAATATTGACTTCGTATACTGCTGTTTTGCTCAATTCAGTTATTAGCTAGGTAGTTTTTTTTGTGGAATCTGTGGGATTTTCTATGTACACTATCATGTCATCTGCAAACAATGATAGTTTTACTTCCTCCTTTCCAATTTGGATGCATTTTATTTCTTTTTCTTGTCTGATTGCTGTGGCTAGGACTTCCAATACTATGTTGATAGAAGTGGTGAAAGCAGACATATTCATCTTGTTCCCACTCTTAGTCAGAAAGCTTTACTTTTTGCCCATTGAGTTTGATGTTGGCTGTAGGTTTTTCATGTACGTCCTTTATTATGTTGAGGTATGCCCCCTTTATTCCCACTCTGCTGACTGTTTTTATCATAAATGGGTGCAGTACCTAATCATATGCTTTTTCCACATCTATTGATATGGTCATGTGGTTTTTGTTTTTACTTTTGTTCATGTGATATATTACATTTATTGATTTCCGAATATTGAACCATCCCTGCATCCTTGGGATGAATCCCACTTGATCATGGTGGACAGTCCTTTTAATGTGTTCCTGGATGCAGTTTGCCAATATTTTGTTGAGGATTTTAGCGTCTATGTTCATCAGCCATATTGGCCTGCAGTTTTCTTTCTTCGTAGGGTCTTTATCTGGTGTTGGGATTAGGGTGATGCTGGCCTCATAAAAACAGTCTGGGAGTCTCAACTCCTCTTTGAATTTTTTGGAATAGTCTGAGGATAGGAGTCAGCTCTTCCTTAAATGTTTTGTAAAATTCTCCTGTGAAACTGTTCGGCCCTGGGCTTTTGTGTGCCGGGAGTTTCTTGATGACTGCTTCAATTTCCCCAGCTGTTATCGGTCTGTTTAAGCTTTTTGTTTCATCCTCCTTCAGTGTTGGAAGATTATACTTTTCTAAAAATTTGTCCATTTCATCAAGATTTTCAAATTTCTTGGCATAGTAGTTTCTGACAATCCTTTGTATTTCTGTGGTATCAGTTGTTATTTCTCCTCTTTCATTTCTGATATTATTAATTTGGGTCCTCTCTCTTTTTTTCTTGATGAGTCTGCTTAAAGGCTTGTCGATTTTATTTATCTTTTCAAAGAACCAGCTTCTGGATTGGTTGGTCCTTCGAAT